TAGGTCGTCAGAATGTGTACATTAAATAGATATTTTTGATCATGCAACCTTTTTACTTGTCCTTTTTTGCTTGTGCAGCAAAGCATGGAGTCCACATTCCTTTTTTCATTCTGTAGGCTGTTTGTGCCCTAGTAAAAGATGGAATAACCGAGGTGTGGCGTAGCACACCTGTAATCACAGCACTCTGGAAATCTGAGGCAGGAGGACTACAAGTTTGAGCCCAGCATGGGCAATTTAGCAAGGCTGTCTCAAAATAAAAGCATTTAAAGGGGCCAAGAGATGAAGCTCAGTGCGAAGATTTTTGGATTCAATCCTGGTCACCCCTACACTCACACATATACACACAAAAGATTACAGTGCCTGGCATACTGCGGCTACTTCGAAAACAGTCTCTTTCTTAAAGTAGTATTTAGAGAAAATATACAAAGGAGAGAAGGTTAAACTCTATGTTGATATGCCATTTCATATAAATATTATGAAAAGTTCTACATCAATTTATATTTTTAGAGGTTTGGATTTCTCTGACTTATTTACATTCCTACTTTTATTGTAGATTGTCTTCACAAACATTCTTAAACTGTTCAGCTACTCATTCATTAAAATACATGCTTAAATCAACTAGTTTCTGATTAGCATCTGATATCAAAAAGACTACAAAATCAGTAATAATTTCGGACCAGAAGATGTTGAAAAATTAATTTTTTATGAATTCTGAAATTTTTAGAAACTAGGAAAAAGATCTTTAAAAAAAAAAATAATAGGGTCCGGGATTTAGCTCAATGGTTCTGCCTGCTTTGCGAGTACAAGGTCCCGAGTTTGATTCCCAGTCTTTCTGAAAAGGGTATCATCATTGTAATTTTATGTTTGTGTTAAAGCAGTACATATTATCTCAGCTGGGATATAAAATCCTTCAGGGCAGGAACTATGTCACAGGTTGGTCATCTTGTAATAGAAAATATATACTATATAAACATTGTTATTAGTAATTTAAATCTTTTGTAATTCAGATAACTTATAATTTTCTGTAGTAGATGCATCATTTAAAATATTTTAGAGAAAAATATATTACGTATCATTTTCTTTATCTTAATACAGCATTCCTTCTGATTAATGGTAAGGAAAAAACCTTTAGCCCCCTTAAAAATAAATTATAGACAATATTATGTCCTTTATACTTACACACTTGGATAATAAAATTTAAACTTATTTCAGGTTAAAAATGTAATGTTAGTAGTGTTCTTATTATGTGCCCCTCCCCTTTAATTGAAGATGACATTGAGGCCACTGTACAAAATTCAGTGTCACATAGGAAGTAGAGGTGGACTGGAAGAGTAACTGCCCAAGAGTACTGTGAACAATACATAGGAACAAGGAATCATAGACTATATTTGGATAAAGGTGACAAAACTAAGAAATACTACTTTCTTGAAATCAGCAGGTATTTAATGGAAGTGTAATATATTGTAATAAGACTTAGAACTCAACAGGTAAGAGACTGAGTCACGACAAAATGTTTAATCACTGATTCTCAACTTTTACTCATCATTAAAATTACAATTCACACCTGTAAGATCTTTTGAGTATCATTATAAAATGCATTGCTCAGTGTATGGAAATTTTAGTATACATGCTGCCAAAGCAAACACGCAAAAATTTTAAATATATACTAAAGCCCTGACATTAAGAATTCTGAAGTATAAGAAAGATGTAATGATCTTGTTGAAAAAGAAAAATATTTTTAAAACAAGATAAAACAAAACTATATGTAATGTACTGAAATGTGAAGCACGGATGTGGATATAGTGGAAAATAACCATTTTCACTCATAGAAATGCAGTAAACATCAGGTAAAACTTATCAGTGATACTTAAATACATTGCTCATAGGGATCTTCTATTTTCTAAACAGGTTTTCTGCATTCACCGTTTCTCATTGATGTGAAAGGTTTCCTTTTTATTTTGACCTGAACTAGAAAGTAAAAGCACTACTGTGTTTGTATAGACTCTTGTCTATTAAGTCAGTTTACATAACTGTCTCTTGGGCACAGATTTGTACAAATACATGACTTGTAAATGCTCTTTCCTCATATATGTCTTTTTTTCCCTCTAAAATACACATTTAATAAGAGATACCTTCAATATAGTATCATGAGAGTCACAAAGAAATATTTAAATAATTAAAGAGGCCTTTTGAGTTTGAAGATTGAAATGTTACTGTATTTTACAAATAATTAACTTTCTAATTATTAATTCTCTAAAATACTGTCAGAAAAGCTTGTCCTGAATCCTAACTGGTGCCAGATTAATTCAGCAACTGTTCCTTTAATCACTATTATATAATTTTTCAGTGATTTCTGCTCTGCACCTTTAACACATTCCCACCACCTCTGGTGATACATGCATGACTATCCCATCAGGCAGCTTGTACCACTGATGCTACAAGTGGATCTAACCACTTTCATCGATCTTTTTAGTGAAACATGAATTAGGGCCCAGTCATGAATGTGTTAATTCTAGTGTGTTCCTAAAAACTCTCTTAAGACAAAGCTTAGCATTTTATATACTGAAAAAATTAGCCTATGGATTTATAGTTTAGATACTACTTTTCAGTTCATTGTAATAGAGACCGTGTTTTTTTGTTACTAGAAGAGTATTTTCACAGACTGACCTGATACAGATTTTTAAATTATTGATCCGTTAATTTTTTTCTTTTCTGTTAAGCTACTCTTTGCTATTAAATATAAATTGAGGATTTCTATCAATTAAAATGCATAAAGGTGGTGCTAGTGATGTTATACAAATAATGCAAATGGAAGATAAATCAGCAGGGGGAGGGGGCAAGGAGGACTATATACTCTTTACTTATTTACACGGTTTAACCATTTTCTTCCATTCTTACCATATCTTACTGTCACAGTCATTTGTGTCCTGCTCAGAGATGCCTGTCTTTAAGGACTCCTGCCTTACCTCCTGCTTCCCTTTCCAGGCCCAAGTCACCCATTCTTCACTTCACCCACTCTTCCCCTGCCTCCCTTGATTTTCCTGCTTCTCTCTCTCACTGAACAATTAATTCTTTCTCTATACTGAGAGTAATTGTCACTCATAAACAATAGAATCACCTGTATTGTTCCACTCCAGTATCTTTGTGTCCTTATCATTAAATTGTTTTATGCTTTTCTTATTTATTAAGGACATATATATATATATATATATATATATGTCCTTAATAAATATGGTATTTTTTAAAGGAAGAGTAGAATAAAGAAAAATATTTATTAAGGACAAATATATGTATATGTTTCCCATTTTTAAGATACTAAGCTTTTCACTTACTACTCACTTTTTCTTAGATCAGCCTGTATAGATGTTACTCACTTCGTTGTATTTCCTTTCTCATCTTGATATTGGTTGCTTTGTCTGGGAGATTCTCTGTCTAACCATTTGCTTAGTAGACTTTAACATGTAAAATTCTAATCTATCTTTTCAGAGATCTGCAAAGAGTAGCAGTTCTTTACTAAGAATGCATAATTTATCCAGCTGACCTGGGCATCAGAGTTTGCTATTTGTCGCTTTCCCAATCCTCAGTTACAGTACACTGTAGGTTCTGGAGCTGAGGCAATAGCTTTGGAACTACTGTTCTCAGTTCCACCCATGAGTCAGTCTCTAAAAGACCTTAGACTTGGGCTGGAGATTTAGCTCAGTGGTTCGGTGGCCTGCCTTGCAAGCAAAAGGACCCGAGTTCAATCCCCGGTACCAAAAAAAAAAAAAAAAAA